GTTTTTTAATACAATTGACCCCTGTGACCTTGAATATAATTGAAGGTCATTCATTTGAACAAACTTGGTAGCCCTTCACCCAAGCATGCTACTGGCCAAATATCATCTCCCTGGGCATTTTTGTTATTGAGAAGAAGATGTTTAAAGTTTTTGACATATTTGACCCCTGTGACCTTGAAAATAGGTGAAGGTCATTAATTTTAACAAACTTTGTAGCCCTTTATCCAAGTTTGCTTCTGGCCAAATATCGACACCCTAGGCCTTTCGGTTATTAAGAAGAAGTCGTTTAAAGTAAAATATTGACGCCGGACGCCGGACGCCGGACGCCGGACGGACGGACGGACGACGGACGCTGCGCCACGGCATAAGCTCACCTGAAGTGCCAGGTGAGCTAATAAAAAACTAAAACTGAGAAAATAGAGCATGTAATATGTTAATATTGAAAAGTAAAGTAGTTACTATGACTTTTTAGTTTTATTAGATGCTTTATTAACTCCATTTGCTCCATTAACATGCAAAAATACATAATACACATGGTGGGACATCCGAACATGCCTATATATAGCTCTGTGATAACTTTTGCAAACTGCCACAATATTAAGTGCGTAGTTTAGGTAATGCCCAGACTAAACAGTGTTCACATCACTGTATTGTTGTTTGGGGATAATCTTCAGACAAACTCATTAGAGATAGAAGTGTCAGAAAGAATGGTACCAGATCAGCTGAATGGGGACAACGTTGACAATACAGTCCGAACCAACGACATCGGATGACAAACAAGAAAAGGGTTTATCATTTGTTTGCCACTGACCCAGTAGATCGTATTGACGTCGCAGGAGCATCATATTACCTGAATGACTGGAACACTGCTGAGCCTGAAGTGGACTGTAGGCAACGATCTACCATCAGCTGATGAAAATGTGTGTTTCTAGAACAGCCTCACGTATACGTTAGTGATGGGAATCGGACAGTAAAAACCCAATTGATTAATCGTAAGCCCTTGCCAGCTAACTCAGAATGTCATTTAAGGGTTATATAGACCGATCTGTAAACCAGCCAGAAGATATAGCAGAACCTTATACTTTTGTAGCTAATCAGGGACTTATGATGGCAAAAGTATTGGTAGATGCCACATGGAATGAGATTAACCTCTCTGTCATGAACCTTAGTACTAAAAATGTCAAGTTGCGAAAATGACAATAGTAATCCAGGGGAGATAAATCCTCAGCAAACTAGAGAAGACAGGATGATAAAGTCTCCACCCAGATACTGTTCATAGAATCTTAAAGTAAAAACACAGAAAGATAGGTATTGTTGCATTTCATTTATTCTATGTTGTACAAATGTGATCGGTGTGATCAATATTCTGATATAACATGTACTTTCGTCTAAGAATGTTTTACTTGTGTTGCTTGCACTGGTACAGCTTAAATACTTTATAATTTGGATATATTTTGATCTGCAGTTATAGGAACTGGGTACTAAGAGTAGTATGCCATTATGTGGTGATTCTGTGTAGATTGTTTTTGATCTGCAGTTATAGGAACTGGGTACTAAGAGTAGTATGCCATTATGTGGTGATTCTGTGTAGATTGTTTTTGATCTGCAGTTATAGGAACTGGGTACTAAGTGTAGTATGCCATTATGTGGTGATTCTGTGTAGATTGTTTGTGTAGATATACATAGGGAATCCGTTATGCGGAAGAGCTCGAGATAATTGAAGTGTTTGTTTTGTTGTCCCATTTTCCTTATATTTTTATTGTATTGTTATTATGTAATACTGGGGAATGTTTTTCTTATGGTTGTGCTTTTGGTACAGATATCAGTCACATAGATAGAGTTTGGAGTGGAAAAACACAGAGGCTAATTAATTCATAAAGGTAACAGAAAAAGTATTCTGTATGTTGTATTTTATTTCATTTATTTTGCTAAGTATGTGTGTTAATGTGAAATGTCTGTCCATTTTGTGAATTTGTATTGCTGGTACTATATTTAATTACGGATGATGTTATCTTCATGAATTATCTCATGATGAATTTAGTGTGTATAACTGATTCATGAATATATTAAGTAATGAATCCAGTCCAAATTAAATTGTCATTTATTGTATATAGAATGAATTCATGAATATATTTAGTAATGAATTCTTCCATCAATGTTTTTATGAAATGGATCTATATTTTTGTAAGATAATTAAAACAAAACAAAAAGTACCAGAGGACTTGTTGAATTTATTTTGCAAATGTAGTAAGATGTCTATAATGTAACTGTTGGATTGTTATAAATTGTGCAAATTATGTGTATTATCATTGTGACGGAATGCCACATTGATGTAATTGTATAAGGAGTGTATTGATTTAAGTGGCATTTCAGATTTATTTTTGCTATGGAATATTACTCCTGTGCAGATGAGTGATGTATGAATGTGTGGACATTATTTTTGATACTAATGGTTTATGGAGTGAATCAGGATATTTGTTGTTTAGTTGGAACTGTGTGGGCAGACCTTTAGAAATGTGTGTGATTTGATCGAACTTTCAATGTGGTACACTGTGGTTGTAAAGTTAGCCTGTGATTGTACACTGTACTGAGTGAGTTTTTGAAGTGAGTTTTGCATTATAATCTTTAAGCGATCAAGTTTTCAAATTTTGTAAAGTTATTGCCAAATGTTTGAACATTTGTCTTAAGGGGGGGGAATGTAAAAGTGGAGATAATATGTATACTTAACATTCAATATTTACAATTGACAGCTCACTACGTTTCATCGTCCATCTTGTTTTTTTCACATTCGGAACCTAGTTACGTAATCGGAAGTGTTCTGAGTAACTTTAGCAGGAATTATGCATGTGCAGTTTGCCGTAACTCAGTGGTTTCGTATAGTTCGTCAGTCATAAGTAAAGTCCTTATGAGACTGCCTGGCTCTCTCTCTCTCTGTCTTTCTTCTAGGACTCGTTAGGTAATAATGTAGGGCCAGCAGTAATGTTTAGCGTTAGGGTTAGGAAGTAGTCTGTACACATGTAGTTAGAATTCCAATGTAGAATCCGTCGTCTAGCTTATAGCGAGCAGTGTAGGAGTATGCCTCGCAGCCACTAGTTTTAATGAACGGTGTTGTATAGGGTGCATGTGTGGGTGAGATATATGTTAACGTGTACTGTACTGCTATTAATTTACACTTGTTGTGTTGAATAAAAGATATTGAATTGTATATCTTTGAGTCTGTGTTCATTTGCCATACTTCATGTTCATCAATTTATAAGACCCCAATGGGCCCAAGATCAACGATCCTGGGTTAGGTTTCTTGGATAGAAACCGCTCCTTTTACAGTTGTGTGGTAATATCCAATCATAGTAGCTGTGCGCCCCACCCCCTTCCTCCTCCAATTTGTTTGACAAGTTGACTTATAAATCCTGCATTCTGGTGCATTTGAAACATAAACACGTTATATTATTTAAACATTCTAGTTTTGAATTCTATATCATCAAAGACTGAATAGTGTATTTTGCTATTTGTATGTCTTTCCATCCAATAACAGGGGGGGGGGTTAGAGTGTATAGATAGCGTTATTGTTGTGTGTACATTGTAAGGATGTAGAGTTCATAGAAAAATGTGAATCTTCATTTCAAATATCAGATGTCAAATGTATTGTTGGCCTCCGATATACACATTTGACAGTTCAATGCTAAGTGCTATAAATTGCCTGTTAAGTGTCAAGACATTCCCAATTTCAACCCCAGTTACATATATGTACATCATCATGTTTGCAAAGTGGTAGCCATTTTTTCACCCGGCATTGATATTTATATCTTACAGAACATTTGTTGTGGTTTGTCAACTTTTTCATTTTTATAAATGATATAATCCTGAACAACTCATTGAGCGCTTATCCATCTGACCTGGGAATCAATTGTTGTGTAAAAGAACAATGTAGCACACCTGGAAGCTGGGCACAATACAAGGTAATTTGGATGTTACTCATTTGAAAGCTTACTCTTTCTGGCAGGGAATGAGATGTTGAGCTCATTTTAACTAGAGTCAGTGTGTTGCCCCTATGGATAAAGAGATACAGATAAAAGAATTTGGAAATATTGCAGTACATTTTACTTAATGAGAACATTTTGCCATGATAACTTACAAACCCAGGTGAACAATACAAGACCTCTGTATCTCTTGTTTGCCTAACAATAGTTCTATGTCGCATTCAATTAACCACCAAAACCCCCTTTTAATGCAAAACTTACCTGGATAAATGGCTGAAGTATAATAAGTTTTACTGTACAGATAATCTATTGGGGCTTAGTGGAATGAATCATATAAACTGAATTCATTTTTCTGAGACTCCCCATTTGAAGTTGTCGGGTCATTTCTTCTTTTAATTTTATTACTATTAGAATATCAACTGGGTTTCCTCTGCATTCTTTCGAGGAACAACCTTCCCTACCTTTGAACATCAAACTATTTGAAGTGAAGTTTGAAGATCCCAGTACAAATTCTGATACAGTACTCCAAATTTTAAACTATCCAATACTTTTTACCCATGCATCAGTAATAATGATTTTAGTTTTCTCTAGCGAGGAATGATCCTTCAGAGTAAATCATACCTACTGTTTGGGAACATAACAGCCTATGCCATTCAGATCTGGAAGTGATTTTGATAGAGACTTACTTCATGATGATTTCCAGTGCGCCATCACTTGCAGGATAAGGGCATATGTGAATTTATCTTACCTGTAGTTTTATTATGTTACCACATTTATTATCTTATAACACTAAAACAGTTTTATATTTAATAAATGATTAACTTCGGTTCATCACCACAAATGGTGTTCATACTGATCCACCTTTTTTTCCTTTTTAGATATATTAAGTTGTGTTCGAAACTCTTTGCCTGTTATACTCTTGGCTTGAATATGACAATACCGCAAAATCTATTACCATCTTTTCACAGACATTGAAGTATACAATGATGTCATTGTTCTATTTTACTATTGTAGATGTCACTATATATAGTTTGTTGGTGTTTGTCGCTAGGCAGGGCAGAAATAGATTATATTTGCCGAGACTCCCCATTTGATGTCGTCAGGTCATCTCTTCTTTTAAGATAATCCTTTGTGTTAACAAAGTCCTAAGAATTTTGTATCTGTCAATTAATCAAGGTGATCACAACATTAACACTGGTGTTGACCAGACTAAGGTATCTGAACAAAATACCTGTAACCAGTGAATTGTGCTTGGATATGAAGCTTGGTAGAATAGAGATCTATCTTCTTGCTCATAATCTGAATGACTGCACCGATAGCAGGATTGTACTGAAAGAAAATAAACACAGAGTTTATATTGAAGGACAAAATGATAACTCAATTGAAATCTTATTTAAACACAATATTACGATAAATATGGGTCTAGTGATTCTCCAATTTTCTAATCTCACTAACTACCGGGTAATACAATGTATATTAAATATTTACCCCTAGGCAAAATTCAGTTTCCAATGAACAAATGTAAGCATGAAGTACCAATACTGTAAACTCTGTGACAATCACAATTTTGGTGCATTTCCTTACCGAATCATCATGGTATTTTGTAAAAAGCTCTACAAATAGGGACTGCCTCTGTTCCATCCAGCCAAACAAAAGAAATGGGGAAAAGACGAAAGTATCCAGGATGCGTAGAAGCATAGACTTAAAGTGCAAAATAGCCTAAAGACAAGAAAAAAATACATTTTTAATCAAGTGCAAATTGAATCCCATATATAACATTTGGTTTGTATTTATAATCTGAAATTCAGTTTGTATGCAACATCTAAAATATGTACAACTATTTATGAATATTAAAAAAAATGCAATATTGCAAAATATTTCTTTTGTTACCTGAAACTGACATATAGGTAACTTCAGGCCAAATTTAGTAACTAGAACACAAGAGATTTTAACATCTCTTACACAGTTCTTAGATATTGTTGTTTGAAATTTGAAATTTTAAAGCTTTTAACCCATGTTGACCTTTGACTCCCAACTAGCACTTAAAAGTTGACCTTTGACCTTATTACTGTAATGAATAAACAGATTCAAACAGCTGGTCTACATAATATACCAAAATATTATGACTCTAGTCCAAATGGTTCTTAGGATATTGTTGTTTGAAGTTTTTAACATATTTGACCCATGTGACCATGAAAGTAAGTCAAGGTAATTTTAATGAGGAAATCTTATAGCACTCCATCCCAGGTACCTACTGGCCAAATATCATGACCCTTGGCCTTATGGAACTGGAGAAGAAGATCGTTAAAGCGTTTAACCCATGTTTACCTTTGACCCATGACTAGCACTTAAAGTTGACCTTGTACTAAAAAAAAGATTTGCACTGCTGGTTTACATAACATACCCAAGTATCATGACTCTAGTCCAAATTGTTCTTAGGATATTGTTGTTTGAAGTTTTTAACATATTTGACACCTTTGACCTTTTGATGAAAAACTTTATAGCACTCTATCCCAGGTACCTACTGGCCAAATATCATGAACCTTGGTCATTCAATTCTTCAGAAGAAGTCGTTTTAGCTCACATTTCATGCCAGGTGAGCTACAATTACAAAAACACCTTCAGACCTTTCCATCCATGAAGAGGACCAGGGGTGAGTCAGTGTCTTAATTTTCATACCAATAAATCGCAATCACATGATGATAATTCCAACCAAGTTTGAATTACATCCCACTGAAAATAAGCAAAATGTACCCAAAAGATTTACTTCTCTATATAAATTATAGCACAGTATTGAACATAACCCTCTCCCCAGGGGGAAATGGGTGATCCTGGGGTAATGATATTCACAATTTTGAAAAAGCACCTTTAAACCGTTCCATCGATGAAGAGTATTTAATTCCAGCAAATCTGAGTCTGGAGCAAAATATTTCGCCAATTTGATCCCTTTTGGCCCAGCCCCTCAGGCCTTTTGGGGTTAGATCCATATTATTTACAATTTAGTTTGCCCTTGACTAAAGAACCTTCCTGCAAAATTTTTTGAAATTTTTTAATAATAGCTCACCTGTTGGGCCAAGTGAGCTAAATATACTGTTCTTCTATTGAAGGGTGAAATTAACACCAAGCAAATATTGATTTTACCACTGAAGGCCAAATATTTACAAGAATCATCTAAATGTGAAATCTTGTCCTCGCGATATTGATTTAACACATTTTGAGCATATTTTATGGTAAAAAGTGATAAAACCGTCAGACTTTGCATGATTGACTGCCCTCCTTCTTCCGAAACTAACAACTTTCGGAATGCAAAACATGTTGAGGAGTGCATGGTCATCTTATCTTGAGTGACAACTACTCATCATTAACGGGGATCTCAACTTTCACCTTGACCTAATTGATAATGGACCAAATTTAGGCAAATTCAACAATGCTTATCCAGACAAGTAGCGTATTTATGGAAAGTTGACAGACAAAAGACATGTCATGGCATAACCTCAATTAACAGTCTAATCTAATTCCGTGGTCAAGTTGAGCTAAAAATTGATTTCAACCTTTTGATCCAAAACTTAGCTAAAACAAAGCTTATTTGAAATATCATTGATCTTTTTGGGGGTTTTTTGTAACTATTTACGATCTTTCATGTCACAAAATAGTCCTTTCTTTTTTTAAAGGCAAGAGCGAATTTGAAAGCTGAAATCCAAATTCTTCACATTAACATAGAAACAAAATGGGAGATGAATCTTTGAATCTTTGAGGGGCTGTTTCCTTCCAGATCATGGGTTGTTGAGCATATTAGTATATAATGACAAATTGCACTTACAGATCTAGAGGCTGAGGCGATTGTCCTTCCCACATGATTATATAAATCCAACTTTACCATGAACATTCCTGAAAAACACAATATAAACTAAGAGATGAGATTTACAAGCAATTTTAAAGTCAGAAATTGTAAATCTTTTTAAATCAAGTGCTGGTGATGCATGGGTATGATTCCTTACTAAAGCTGACAGTGCCAGTTAAAAAGCTTTCAATTGAGATTTAACAAAACAAGAGGCCCATGGGCCTTAACGGTCACCTGAGTCCTACAGTATTAATTTTTGTTGTTGAAATATGTACCAATTTGAGTACAAAATAGTTAAGCATAACGTTAACTTAAGTTTGTCAGGACCATGAGCTGATCATTCCTAGACCGAGTTTCAGTTAAATCGGCCTATTAGAACTTGTTTTTAAGTTTGAAATAGTTATTTTCAAAATAGTGGCTGTGGCAGCCAAATCGGATTTCTGACTGACCCGAAAAAAACACACACTTTGTCAGGACCATGAGTCGATCATTCCTAAAAAGTTTCAGTTTAATCGGCCCATTAGAACTTGACTTTAAGTTTGAAATAGTTTTTCAAAATGGCAGCAGTGGCAGCCATATTGGATTTCTGATTGACCCGAAAAATAACAACACTTTGTCAGGACCATAAGTCGATCATTCCTACCAAATTTCAGTTCAATCGGCCTAGCAGAACTTTACTTTAAGTTTGACATAGTTTTTCAAAATGGCAGCCGTGGTAGCCATATTGGATTTCTGATTGACCCAAAAAATAACAACACTTTGTCAGGACCATGAATCAATCATTCCTCTAAAGTTTCAGTTCAATCAGCCCAGCAGAGCTTGACTTTAAGTTTGAAATAGTTTTTCAAAATGGCGGCCGTGGTGGCCATATTGGATTTCTGATCGACCCGAAAAATAACAACACTTGGTCAGAGAGATGTCAGTAACCTTCCCATGAAATATTAATGAAATCCCTTTGCCAGTATTTCAGCTTAAGTTGAAAATGTAAGATGTTAACTGACGACGGACGAAGACGGATAGCAATAGGTCACTTGATCAAAAGCTCATGTGGTGTTGAGGGGCTATTTGCTGTTCATAGTCTTGTTGTGCATGATTTAGCAGTTATGAAGAGACAACACAATCTATGATAAAAGCAAAAATCAAAAATTAAAAATCGTAAGATTCAACAAACAAGAGGCCCAATGGGCCTGCATCGCTCACCTGTTATGAATCTCACACTTGTAATCTTAAAAGTGGAATAAAATACAGCTACAGGCAGAATATCAGTGTTTGATTCATAAGAATCTATTAAAAGATCTAAACATATGAGGAGATTAGGTTGAAAGTGTGTCGAGGTCATTCATTTGAACAAACTTGGTAGCCCTTCATCCTAGCATGCTACAGGCCCAATTTCAGTACCTTGGGCCTTTTGGTTATTGAGAAAAAGTTGTTTGAAGATTTTACGACATTTGACCCATGTGACCTTGAAAGTGGGTCAAGGTCATTCATTTGAACAAACTTGGTAGCCATTTATCCCAGTATGCTACAAGCCCAATATTGGTACCCTGGGCCTTTTGGTTATTAAGAAGAAGTTGTTCGAAGATTTTAAGACATTTGACCCCTGTGGCCTTGAAAGTGGGTCAAGGTCACTCATTTGAACAAACTTGGTAGCCCTTCATCCCAGCATGCTACAAGCCCAATATCAGTTCCCTGGGCCTTTTGGTTATTAAGAAGAAGTCGTTCGAAGATTTTAAGACATTTAACCCCTGTGGCCTTGAAAGTGGGTCAAGGTCATTCATTTGAACAAACTTGGCAGCCATTTATCCCAGCATGCTACAAGCCCAATATCAGTACCCTGGGCCTTTTGGTTATTGAGAAAAAGTTGTTTGAAGATTTTACGACATTTGACCCATGTGACCTTGAAAGTGGGTCAAGGGCATTCATTTGAACAAACTTGGCAGCCCTTCATCCCAGCATGCTACAAGCTCAATATCAGTACCCTGGGCCTTTTGGTTATTGAGAAGTTGTTTAAAGATTTTAAGCATCTGACCCCTGTCACCTTGAAAGTGGGTCAAGTCATTCATTTGAACAAACTTGGTAGCCCTTCATCCCAGCATGCTAATGGCCAAAAATCATGAGCCCAGACCTTTTGGTTATTGAGAAGAAATTGTTTGAAGATTGTAAGACATTTGAACCCAGTGACCTTGAAAGATGGTCTAGGTCACTCATTTGAACAAACTTGGTAGAACTTTCTCCCAGCATACTATAGGCCCAATATCAGTTCCCTGGGCCTTTTGATTATTGAGGAGGAGTCATTTCAGATTTTAAGACATCTGACCCCAGTGACCTTGAAAGTGGGTCAAGGTCATTCATTTGAACAAACTTGGTAGCCATTCATCCCAGTATGCTACAGGCCTAATATTGGTACCCTGGGCCTTTTGGTTATTAAGAAGAAGTCGTTCGAAGATTTTAAGACATTTGACCCCTGTCACCTTGAGAGTGGGTCAAGGTCATTCATTTGAACAAACTTGGTAGCCATTTATCCCAGTATGCTACAAGCCCAATATTGGTACCCTGGGCCTTTTGGTTATTAAGAAGAAGTCGTTCGAAGATTTTAAGACATTTGACCCCTGTCACCTTGAGAGTGGGTCAAGGTCATTCATTTGAACAAACTTGGTAGCTCTTCATCCCAGTATGCTACTGGCCAAATATCACCACCCTGGGCATTTCGGTTATTCAGAAGAAATTGTTTAAAAAACTTTTAAGACAATTGACTCCTGTGACCTTTAGTATGAGTGAAGGTCATTCATTTGAACAAGCTTGGTAGCTCTTCATCCCAGTATGCTACTGGCCAAATATCACCACCCTGGGCATTTCGGTTATTCAGAAGAAATTGTTTAAAAAACTTTTAAGACAATTGACTCCTGTGACCTTGAGTATGAGTGAAGGTCATTCATTTGAACAAACTTGGTAGCTCTTCATCCCAGTATGCTACTGGCCAAATATCATCACCCTGGGCATTTCGGTTATTCAGAAGAAATTGTTTAAAGTTTTTAACATATTTGACCCCTGTGACCTTGAATACAGGTCAAGGTCATTTATTTTAACAAACTTGGTAGCCCTTCATCTCAGTTTGCTTCTGGCCAAATATAATCACCCTAGGCCTTGGGGTTATAAAGAAGAAGTTGTTTAAAGTAAAATATTGACGCCTGCAGACGCTGGACGGACGACGGACGCCGCACCATACCTTACCTTCGGGCCAGGTGAGCTAAAACCTCTTTCAAATCTGGGAGGCTGCACATGTATATGAAAATATGATTGCACAACTTCATGCAGAAGCCAGCTTAATGCACTCATACACTTGGAATGAACACATTTATTATACCAAACAATGAAATGGTGCTAAATGCAAATTTGTGCTTTAACTTGTGCTTTAACTTGTGCTTATAATGTGCTATGTAACTTGTGCTAAAATCTGTGGTGTACTTTTAAGCATGGGGGTAAGCTGAAATAGGTTATTTGAGTTTCAATTTTAAAAACGTTTTAGAAATATCAAGTTTTTAGCTCACCTGCCCAAAGGGCAAGTGAGCTAAAAACATCCTTAGGCCAAGGGGACTTTTTTGTATCAACGTTGGGTGTGCCCCAACTGGGGGCAGAGGGGTGGGACAGAATAGGGGTAATAGAGGTAAACATTTAAAATCCTTCATCTACAATAGGGATTAAGGGATTTATCCTAATTAGGTCTGGAGCATCCTTGGGCCAAGGGCACTCAATTTTGTATAAACAGTAGGTGTGGCGCTCCTGGGGGCAGAGGTGTTGGGCGCAATCAGGGAAATAGAGATAAAAACCTTTGAAATCCTTCTTCTACCATTGGGATTAAGGGATTTTATCCCAACTTGGTCTGTAGAATCCTTGGGCCAAGGGGACTCAATTTTGTATAAATGGTGGGTGTGGCCCCTCTGGGGCAGAGGGGTGGGGCTAAATAGGGGAAATAGAGATAAACCTTTAAAATCATTCTCCTACCATAGTGATTAAGGGATTTCATCCCAATTTTGTCTGGATCATCTTTTGGCCAAAGGGACTGAATTTTGTATAAACGGTTGGTTTGGATCTCCTGGGGGCAGAGTTGTTTGGCCCAATAGGGGAAATAGAGGTAAAAACCTTTGGAATCCTTCTTCTACCATAGGAATTAAGGGATTTTATTCCAAATCAACCTGGAGCATCCTTGGGCAAAGGGGGATTAAATTTTGTACAAACGAAGGATGACGCCCCTCTGGGTGCTGAGAGTTGAGGGTCCATTTACTATATGTCATTACTAAGCTTTTGAGCTAATAGCTTTAATATTTGAAGTTCAACACAAGTGACAACTGTCTAGATTCATTGAAACATGTTATAAAACATTCATTTACCTGTAAACTTCTAAATGATTCCCGTTTAGTTTGTTCAATATTTACATCTTAGTAGACATGTGATTGTGCCCGTGATATAGAAGTCTCCAAAGAGTGATGGTTGGTTATCATGTTTACCTGACTCGCATTAGTTAATTTTCACATTGTAAACCTTGTGATTTTGTACAATTTGAAAATTGACTGACTCGAGTAAGAAAACTTTAACATTATAACCAAAAGTCATGAGTATGAGAGAAACAATTGCCATGAATCATGATGTCACAATGGAAGATGAGGTTCAGAAGTGTTGTTAAATGAAGTCGTAACCAAAAGATTGACCAATGTAATCATGACCAGGATGTTACCCACAAGAGGTTAACCAGAATGTTTGCCAACTCCTAGCAAGTTCATGTCAAACATTTACATCCTCTTTACAGTAGATGCCATAATTCACCTATGCTTAGTTATCTTAGTTAGTGCCCTGTTCAGCCGATTTTCATGTCAAGGCAGTAATGATGACAAATGTGGTCCCTACGAAAGGGGGTTATACATAGGGTCTTCTGTGTCTTCTGGGCTTAACATTTTAATGAAGGAGGGTGGAAAGAGGTGGAACTGTTCTTGGACTATCATGTGACCAGGTAGTACAGTCGGTTAGAGCAACCACATCAAGTTCCCAGGTTTGAATTCCAGTCTTGTCACTGCATTATAGTTTTTTCTATTCATGGATTTACAATATCACTTGTATAGTAAATTTAGCATTATGTGCAGACATGAGTGGTTCGTTGTTGTGCATTGCTTACCTAGATTTTGATTCTGTGGAGATTCTGGTAGTTCTACTTCTAGGATTATACTGTATATCTGACCTCTGGTAAACACCTGTAATACACAAATGTTATGTTAGGTCGTCATCTGATGTTACACATGTATCTGTTTCTCAACATTTAAGCAGCAGGTATAAAGAAGTTCTCGGTGTTAAATACATATTCTTAAAGAGTATGACAGGTACTTAATTGCAATTTCTCAAAGTAGGGATATATATAGTGTTAACGTTGGAAACCATCACACGGTATCAAGACTGAACCAAAAACATTAAACAGCTCAATTCCATCCCTATGAACTTCTTGTGGAGTGGGTATACTGACCAAGTTAAGCAAGAAGTATTTACTCAGTTATATAGATGGTGGGCTTAAAATGATAAGCATTGTAGCTTTTATTGATTCTCTAAAAATTAGTTAAATCAGAAGGATTTTCATGTCAGAGGGGAAATGGCTTTTATAGATATTAAATATGAGGCAAAGTACCGCTCACTTGGATAACACAGCAACTATGGGAAAGTATTCTCATCCAAGATAATTCAATCTGCTCCGTCTCTCAGAAACAACCAACCCTCAATGGTCCCTTCTTTCTACCCCAATGTAGTGGGATGGATTATAAACATTTACCTCAATTTCATAGATTCTTTGTCAGTTAGATCTTTTCTCTTCTTTTCTCTTATCTATTTTGATCAGTTTGCCTGTCAGCCATCTTAATCAATCTTTTTATCAATCTCAAAAGTGAACATACACAACTCACGACCAAGGGAAACCTATATAGCTACCAATCAAATCTGAGAAAAATTCCTCCAGTAAATTCTGAGAAATTGCGATAACCAGAGACGTATATAACACATGTGTTATATACGTCTCTGCGATAACCAGGGACGTAACCAGGCGTACGCACGGACGCATGGGCTTCCACGTAATTTTTTCAAGTATACTTTTAACAAGGATCACATCGTAGAACTGTATGTGATAAACTTTAACAACTCATATTATCCTGGGCCCTCAGTGAATTCATTATCTCATTGATATTGTTTCTTTTATTGATTATTTAAAGAAAATGTTCCTTGTTCATATGGAACTAATTATTACGTCTTTGAAAAAAAATACTACAAGCCAAATATGAAAATGATAGGTATTTTATGTCTCAAACTGCACCAGAATGGGTTCCAGATTCCGAAAAAATCTCGGAACCCCCGGAACCCCCGGAACCCCCCGAACTCAGGAGGGGGTAACCACCCTCCCGAACCCACCCCCTACTCCGCGCTTCGCGCTTCGTATGCTTCCACATACTCATAGTCCTGGTTACGTCCCTGATAACCAACTTAAACTGTAACAAGATGACCGACCAATATGATTTGATATGCATAACTAAGAACAAGAGGAACCCTATGTGAAATTGCAGAAAGATCCCTCCAATACTTTTTGAGCAATCGGGCTAAAAAAAAATAATCCCAAATTCAATATTACCACCAGCCAGCCATCTTGGTTTTCCAATCATCCCCAAAATTTGAATGCGGAACTAAGAACCGTTGGGAATCTTCATGTGAAATTTGAGAAAGACTCCTCCTGAACATTCTGAGAAATAACGCCAACAAACTTTCACTCTCAAATTCAAGATGGCCATCTATTGGCCATCTTGGATTTCCCTTCTGTCCCAAAATTTAATATGCGTAACTAGGAACCATGGGGAACTTTCATGTAAAATTTGAGAAATGACCCTCTAAAACTTTCTGAAAAAACAGTGCTAACAAACTTTAACTCTCAAATTCCAGATGGCTACCTGTCGGTCATTTTGGTTTTGTGATCAGTCCCAAAACAAGATATGCATAACAAGGGATCATGGGGAACCTTCATGTGAAATTTGAGAAAAATCCTTCCAATAAGTTATGGAAAACAGCACTAACAAACTTTAACTCTCAAATTCAAGGTTTTGTGATCAGTCTAATATAACGATATACATAACTAAGGACAATGGGAAACCTATATGTGAAATTTGAGAAATATCCTTCAAATAAGTTCTGGGAAATAGCTAGCACTAACAAACTTTAACTCTCAAATTCAAGGTTGCTGGCTGTCAGACATCTTGGTTTTGTGACATGTTCATCAATTGATTTAACCTTCTCATAAACCTTCCAAAGTTATTTTGAAATTTTCAAAATTTAATTTCCTTGTTGCATCCGACCTGTTGTTCTTTAATTGTAACACCTGTGCCCTGTGGCCATTATGAATATAACAGTGTCCACAGCTCTCGATCCATCTGTGACATGGATAAAAAAGACCCCATGTGGAGAGTAGGCTTGATGTCCAGTTGGGCTGTAAATCACCACTGCCTTCAACAACATGTATAACGTACTCCCTGGGAGGGAGAAACTTTGAGTCACTGCTGTCAATCACTAGTAGGTGCTGACCAATCAGTATCCTTGACCTAGTGATAACTAACTGGACCACCCCTATCAGTCCCCAAATCTTACAGCTGACAGGCATGCAGCACCAATTAACTTACATTATGTACTCTGCAGGAAAAATGTTATACTGGTTGATTTAAATGCTTCTTTTAACTTTTTGTTTTATTCTCTTTTAATGTTTTACCGATGTTAAGATAATAAGTAGTTTTAGATTATCATGTAGCTTTAGTTTGAGACACATAGTCATAATTAGCTTTACAACATATGTATTCCCACCGGTAAACAAGCTCGGGAAGATACATAATAATTGTGAACTTAACATACTTCACAAATTTATTACTAAATGTAATTTTTAATTTATAAACATTATTATACATAAATTAACCATGGTTTATATCACCCAAATTTTATTTTATAACACTTAAAGAGAAAGAATTAATATAAAGCTCTATGAGAAAATTTACAATTTTACTAAGATAGACATATTACATTCAAAATGGTCAAAGTTTCAATCAATCAAACACAACATTTCTCTCACAATTCACGTTACCTCATCTTCTCCTTCCTTCAGCAAAGATATATTGGCAGTTGGAAAGGAGCATATCCCCACACCATCCTCACCTACACTGAAAACAAGGCAAAATAGTCAACAATATAACCGAAGTCATAAAGTAAAGTTTCAGAAATTATTCGGATTGCATATTTTGTTTTCTATTACATGTTTAGGTCCAGGACAATATGTCTAAGTAAGGAAATCTCTGTACTTACACCACAGGCACTGCATGGTCTCGTCTGTCAATAAGGTGACAGCACTAGCAGGTTTTTCCATTAATTTTGGATGGAGGCTTTTTTCTCATTTTGGAAAGAAAACTAAAGAGGGCCAATGGGTCTGCATCGCTCACCTGCTATTAATCTGACACTTGTAACCTTAAACCTGGACAAAAGTCAAATACATTTAAATGGACTTGATAAAGGGGCATGTCTACTTGTCAGTCTAGGTACCTCACTTATGTAACCCTCTCTTCCTATCCTTTCTCCCTCTCGTACCTGCTACTCCTCATTTTAGTGTGTCAAGACCTCTGTTGGAAAAATATCTTTTTGATTTTGTTTTAGAAAAAAATAAACAAAATGATGAATTAACAAGAGGCCCATGCAGAGGGCCTGTATCCCTTGATAATAAAGCAACCATGGGAAAATATTCTTATTACATAAAATACCTCCAATGGTTCAGAAGAAGAAGGATTTTAAAGATTTCAACCTCAAATTCCCCTATTTGGCCCCCACACAACTCTGCACCCAAAGGGGCCGCACCCTCCATTTACACAATGTTTTCTCCCTTCACCCAAGGATGCTCCAGGTCAAATATGGATGAAATCCCTCAAATGATACAGAGAAAAAAGGATTTTGAAGACTTAAACCTCAAATTCACCTATTGGGCCCACAACTCTGCACTCAGAGGGACTATACCCTCCATTTACACAAAATTTAGTCCCCTTTGCCAAACGATGCTCCAGGTCAAATATGGATAAAATCCCTCCAATAGTACAGAAGAAGAAGGATTTTAATGATTTTAACCTCAAATTCCCCTATTGTGCCCTGCCGCTCTGCATCCAGAGGGTCCAGCGTTTATACAAATTGAAACCCCTTTGCCCAAGGATGCCAAATCTAGTCAAAATCAAAAAAGCTATTCAGGATTAGAACTATAGTAGCGTTTTAAGGAAAAGTTGACAGATGGACAGACGCCACAGTACAGCATAAGCTCGGACCAGGTGAGCTAAAAACACAAGTACTGTAATGAATTTCAGTGATTTATTATGCATGTATAAGATCTCGCAACATTTTGATCTGTCCTTCAGATTGGTCATGGGCAGAGACACGTTCAAGCCCGAAATTTCCACGACCCTTTATGAAAGTTCCTGATCAACTAGAATCCTATGATTATGAAACAAAATTGATGCTGAACTTTGATCATCAGCAAATGCAGCAATATATAAATTTCTTTGAATTATGAGAATTAACAAGAGGCCCAGGGGCCTTAATAGCTCACCTGGTATTTTATTTTCAATTTAAAACCTGCCGAGTACCATACCAGTTTATCAAAGGAGTAAAATCTGTTTGGGTGGGTAAGACACCAAGAACATGAGTGCATTCTTCATGTCAAGCAATTTTGTACATAGTTATGGGGATTTCAACTGTTTCTATGTAATTGCCCAGGGAGGTAGTCTCCAGGGGTTGGTCTGTACCTACGAACCAGTCCTGGTAGCATGAATGGTTTGTTCTTTTCATGTCTAGCAGTTATTTGGTTATGAGGTGAAGAAAAAATCCCTTCATTCAAATTGAAGGAGAGGGATTTTAATAATTTACCTCCTTTTCCCCTATTTGGCCATACCCCTGATCTTCCCCACGGGGATGGGGACACACACACACTGTATAAATATTTACTGTACGAAAGTACCACTTGCCAATGGATCCTCTAGACCAAATTTTGTTGAAATCCCTTTATTCATTTGGAAGGAGAAACATTTTAAATATTAAGCTCCGTTTCCCCTATTCAGCCCCCAGGGGGACCAAGCCCTCCATTTTATAAAATTTAGTTGTCTTTGCCTTCTTCTTTCCCATTTAGATTCAAATTCTTGATGTGGAATGATAACGAATCTGTGCGTATGACCAGACTTGGTCAGATAAAAACCACAATGGCACTATTTACAATTTAAAACAATCACAGTTAGTATGATGACATGTCTGCACAGTAAGGAGAGATAAGCCCACCCTTAACTGTTCTAAAGATGTGCAGATCATCCTCAGGTGTGTGGGTAGAAGATTCCACGATGTAATTGTCCTAGGAAAGAATAAGAATTTGTGGTTATCTCTTTTTGTGGTTATAGGCCTGAAAATATTGATGTTGCATGTTTGAGAGTCAGACTTTGATGCCTATTGTTGATTAACTGGAGATGGTAGGGATCCCAGATTGGGGCTGCATGCTCCAGTGTTGGCTGAATGACTGCACAATAGACATTTGCTTTGATTTCAGGCTTACACTTAAGTTACATCTGATAAACCCTAGCGACATGAATTGTGCAGCACTTATCAACATTAAAGGACATCTGCCAGGTCTTCTCCCAATTTTCCAAGGTCATAGGTCATGTTGGAGACTCTGTTGGTGTTGTAAGGTTCTAATAGGACAGTGAAGGAGACAATCGTCTGCAAATAGCCAGGCAGTGGATGAGATATAGTTAGGCAAGTCATTAATGAAAATAACAAGGGACCTAACACTGTACCTTGAGGTACTCCAGAGTCCACAGAGCATAAAGAGGATCGGGTACCATCAAGTACTACTCGTTGTGCACGATTTGATAAAACGTCCTGTATCCAATGAATATGGAACGCTAAATTAATTAAAGATAGGTTAAATAATTCAATTGAAGATAGGTTCAATTCAATTGCATATATCTTTAAATAATTAAAGATAGGTACAAATATTTGTACCGATATCCTATTGAATTGCAGCTATCTTCAATTGAATTGAACCTAGGTATAAATACAATTTAGATTTAGATACAATGGAGATATAGGTACAATTCAATTGAAGATAGGTCTAATTTGTCATATTTGAACCTACCGGGGTATAATTCAATTGAATTGAACCTATTTTCAATTGAATTGTACCTATCTTCAACTATTTGGCGTTCCATAAATAAGCAGTGTTAATTCCAATTCCGTAATATTTGAGTTTTAGCAGTAGACGATTATAAGGAACTTTATTGAAAGCTTTAGAAAAGTCCAAAAGAATGATGTCTGTTTGAGTGCCAAAAGATGTGTTTTGTGCAAGTCCCTTTGCCTGCAGGTTCTCTTAAGCTTGACCAAAATTGATTAAAATTTAAGATCTCTCCATTTGTATTGAAGGAGAAAGATTTTAAAATAGTTTTCTCCATTTACAATATTGGGCCCAGCCAACCCTCTGTCCCAAGGGGGCCACACTCTCTATTTATACAAAATTTAGTCTGGCTTGCCTATACTGATGATCTATAACAAATTTGATGATAATCCCTTTACTCACACAGAAGGACCGAGAAAGCTTTAAAAAGATTTATATAGTACTTACAACTTATCATCATTACAGATCACATTTTTGCATCGAGCATCTGTCAATCATTTATGTACCTTTTTCATGTACGGTTAAATTAAAACAATTCTGTTGTTCAGATACTAAAATATCTTTATAGTCCTGGATCAGGTTTTTCGTCCGGGAACGGCCTACAAGATTTACCCCGACCATTTAAGGAGGCTCCACACTTTCACAATAAACCAGGAAAATTTGTTGAAACTTTCATATAATGGTTATGCAACTATGTCGAGTTGATTTCATGAAAATCTAAGCATTTGTATATCTATGTACTGTAAAGCGCTTTAGAGTGGCTTATGTTAGCTAAATAGGGCGCTATATCAAATGTTGTATATTATTATTATTATTTCAATAGTTTTGGGACTTTATTATATATACAGAGTACCATAAAATTGAGTTTTCGTCCATTTTAATATTTTCCGTGTTTTTTGTGTGTTGCATATTGTTGGAATAATAACAACAATATAAAAAGAAGCATTGCTAATAAACTCTACAAATATTTTATTGATCGGAAAATATATAAAACATGTTACACAAGGAGCTTTTTATTGAAATTGTACAGATGAAAGTGATTATCTACAAGCTAAAAGCAAACAGGACACAAAGATCTATATATAAAGAGTGGGAAATTGAACAAAATATACGTAGCCTTTATAATCATTATTTTACATTTTACAATCACTTTGATCCTGGTGAGAGTTGTCTTCCTTGAAAAAAATCGAACTTTTTGCAGAGGAATGAAATTTACACAATGACAGTTATCTCTTTTTACGTGTACGTATGTATCAAAATGATGTAAATAAATTAAAATTATGATATCAAAATTGTCATTTTATTGTTCTTTATGTACACTTTGGACATAATTCCACAGCCCTCTTAGAACGCACGATATATGAACATGTCGGGAACATGTGACCAGAGCCAATCGCATGGTATGCTGTTCTCACGACTATGCACCCACACATGCATTTTCAAAGGGATCTTCATATTTTACAAAACACTATTTTCACAGGTCAGTAAGTGCATTGCATTTGTAAAAAATATTAAATTGACAGAGGGAAACTCGCTCAACAGCAATATTTGTATCGACATCGAGCTTGTGAACTCGTGTAAGCATGTGATTATATGCACATGTGAGGTCGGTACACAAATCCCATCATTCCGCATTCAATCACGGAATATTAGATTAGATCTATACAGTCTGTGGTTTCATATGTGACTTTCTTGAAGTCGTCTGGTCTTATGTCAAGGTCTCAATTACCGTGAGTTAGTTTATGTCATTGTATGGGAAGCTTTATATGTGTGATTACACATTTCCCAACAAAATCTCGATATTTGGTGTTGACATATCATCGTCATGCATGTGTACTAGTGTTTACCAGGTGTTACTATAATCATAGACTTACAATAGATCTAATCTAATTCCGTGCTATAATTTACACTGCAGTATTGAAATGCGCGATACGCAATACGGAAATGACGGCATATGGTGTACATGCACATTTTGTTGGAGATAATTGAGTCGAAGGTGTACTTTTTCGGAAGTACGTCACAAAAATGGACCTGATGACGATGTCGATGTGTGTGGAGCCACCTTAAAATAGTTCTAAATGAAATAAACCCCCGATCTTTAACATATTTGTGGCTTGAATTTGTGATGTAGAATGCATATTTATGTCAAATCTCGTGAAAAAATGCCAATTTAAAGCCCATTTCCCTCCTTTTCGGTAATTCAACTCGAATCCGGTCCGGTTACGACTCGACTACTGTAATTACCTGAACTCGAGATGTACGGGTTTCACCCGAGATCGTGTAGGTACGTACGTGTAGTAGAAACTACCATACATAAAGACTGAAAGCCATAATATTACAATGAAAACTGTCCATATGTATAAAACGGATGTCACTTTGCCCTGTACGTAATTAAAACGCCTTTGTAAACCGATTTTAATCCGATCGGAATAACTACGAATGAACTTCAGCATCACGACCACCGACCTCTTTCTGGTTCAATGTATTTTGTAAACAGAAGCCATATTTTCGTAATTTACTTTCGTTATTCTTTTGAGATCATATTTGAATATTTCGTATTGTCTTTTTGATATAATACAAATAATTTCAGCCAGACGTATTTTAATCATCGTATGTAGAAGAGTCTAATACTCATTCTTAAATTACGAATATGTCGTTACACCACAATGAGAAGTCCGCCATATTCAGTTGCAACTACTACTAGATCTAGGACCTAAGGATCTATTGTGAAAGATATTTTGACGTGAAAGTGTGCACTTTAAAACAAAATCTTGACATGTTGTGATCGAAAATATTGTTTGACAAGTCTTTTGTCGACGAGGTAAGCATATGATTTACATGTGACATTGAATTAACAAGTATTTACTTTTCGACATGTAATGATGTACGTAATAATATACATTGGTCATTGTTATAAAGCACCCTGTCATGAACACGTACAGGGACCTGATAATCTTAGTAATTTTACATGTTTTAGTGGTTGAGATCGACTTTTGGTGAAAATGCCATCCCAGTGTTTATATATATATACGAGAAGGGTAGAAATCTCTCGATGTCGAAAAGTCGACCCCACCTAATTTTCTTAAATCAAAAACAAAATTTCTAGTTTGGGAAAAAATGCTTGGTTATACATTGCAAAGATGTAAAACAAATGGACACATAGTAATAAAATAAATTAAATGAATAAAATAATAATAAAAGCAAACACTTGCACAAATCTGAAGAAGCAGCATCAACACACATATAATTGGACATGAAGCAAAGTGGACCACATGTACATTTACTACACACTGCGGCACACATTACAAGAGCAAATGGGGCCATCCCAGGTCTGGACCAATCTCCTAAATTCATTGTACCTGTCTACTTTTCTGAGTTGATTGGGGAGACTGTTCCACACCTGGGCCGCCTTGTGGGAGAAACACTTGAATCCATACCTTGTAGTGTTGACCCTAGGTAATACAGCTGTATTCTCTTGTCTGCAATTAAAATCAGTTACCTTTATTTCAATCATATCATGAATAAAGCGTGGAGGGATTTTCTTAACTATTTTATATACTTCACACGCCAGGTCTCTTAAACGTCTTATGTGTAGTAAATCAGAGTTTGATTTTTGGACTAAAAGTTCAAAGGAAGACGAAAAATCACTATATATGCAATACGTAGTGATCTTTCTTGATTTTTTTCCAGAAATGCCATACAAGAGGGCAATAATTAAAACTTGAAAGAATGAATGAGTTGTAAATAATTTGTCTCCCTTCCCTAGACAAATATTTACCTAACCTTTTCATAATTACAGATAATTGTCTGGAGGCTTTTTTACAGAGCTCTGAGATGTGATAGTCAAAGTTCAATAAGTAATCAAAATTTACACCTAGTAATTTGACATATTTTTCACAATTAACCCTTTCAACACTGTAGACCATAATGGACGCGTCCAGATCAATGCATGGTAGAGTCTACTAAAGTTACATAGGGGTGAAAGGGTTAAGAGATACATCTCCAATATCAAGAGATTTGATTTTGTCAAATGATCGTTTTCCAATGCTGATTGCCTGAAACTTTTCAGGATTGGCTTTCATATCATTTTTAATAAACCAATCAATAACATGAGTACAACCTTTTTCTAAAATTGATTTTGAGATAGTAGGATCCTTATGGTTGTAACCTATAGTATTATCATCTGCATAGTTGTTAAGAGATGAATCTTCAATACAATCAAAAATATCATTTATAAATATGTTGAAAAGAAGGGGGCCCAGGATAGATCCATGGGGAACCCCTTTAAGAATACCTGACCAGGTGCTGCAATTTGAAGCCAGTTTCACCTGCTGACCAGGTAGCTGGACATCAGGCTCACTGCCTGACTGTCTATAACCCATATGCTTCCAGCTTCCTGAGCAGCAGATTGTGGGAGAGGCTGTCAAAGGCCTTGGTTAAGTCCATAAGCATGGCAGGGCCAAGCGCCAATCCTCCACCAATCTCAACAGGGTCATTTGGCATCCAAAACCTGGTCTGAAAGCACCTAGAAATGGATGGAATATATTTTCAAAAAATTCAGAAAGTTGTCGACTAATGGCTTTTTCAAATAGTTTTGAGATATAAGGAAGGATGCTGACAGGCCTATAATTCTGCTTGTCAGTGTTATAGGCCTGGATACTTTTTCTTTCGAAAACCTCCTATATGCAAGAGGAATGTATTCTCCTTCCTCTGACAAGATCTCTGTTTCCTCAAAAAAAGCATGCCATTTCAGAGTTTCAAAGTTTTTCGCAGTCATTGAGACACTTTTTTGTATATATGAGGTTGACATCAGCCTAATGTTGAGACCCGCAGTTGGCTGGAAGCGCAGCCATAAATCCATTTAAACTACCAGCGAGCCTACACTGCATGTTTCGGCACGAGGCTGCAGATGTCAACCTGGTTTAGTAGCCATCTTGCTTTCACATGTGTTCAATGGATGAAGTTAGCTAACAAACGTAAAAGCAATAAATGTTTGTTTTGAGTTTTTTTTGTAAAGAAGCCTTGAGCACACATCAATATTAAGCTTCTAGGGATGACTTTTGTGTGTATTTTTCACTATTGCAATACTGTTACTATTAGGGAAAACACTTGCGATAGTTCAATTATTGTGGTATACTATCACGACAGTAATCCAATAGTATTGGATACTTCAGTTACCCAAGTTCTTTCTGTTATTTCTCTGTTTGTTCGTTGGTATAAGGTCATTTTTGTCTTAAATATGGAAGTTAGTCACCATGCTGTCTGCTAGCGTGTTTATCAAATGTTCCCACAACACTGAGTATAGAGTAATAAATTACCGTAACAGTTATGCAATTAAAACACACAAAAGACTGAGACTGGTAATATATAAACGTGACTACTTGACTCCTTGTGCTAGTGCAGCCATGTGCATCTTAATGATATCGACTGAATTATCAGTACTCATAATTGCATGGTGTGAGTTTTGAAACTATCAATTGTTTAGCATATTATTGACGATTGTTATCGAGTTTATGAATTCGAAGTTGCCATCGATTAATCAAGCCGAGAGGTGTACAATAGCAATCTTTCGATAGTCTGTAGTGTTATAACTTTAATTGAAACTTAATTAAACGTTTAAATAAAAACACATCATTTTATTTTATAAATTTAACCCACTTCTGCACAAAAACCGGTATGTTTTTTTGGTATATGGCCATATTGCCCGCATAACAAGCAAGGCAAAATAATAACTGTAGCTCCAAGTAGATCCACTATCGCGAACACAGTCATTAAAGGAATTAAAACCTTAAAAACAAACAAGGATATGCTAAAGGTATCCCAATATTTATTTACATAGACAAATGTTCATGGACAAATTCTATGCTTGTTTCAAGTTGCATGTGACATTATCAAGAGTGCAACTCCACATCGTGAAATGTTCCTAATATTGTGATGCTAGTCTAAACACAAAAACATTGTCAAATGATATATCGATCAAACTGAATTGAGTAGATGCAGTAGACACACAGAATGTTATTTCCGAAGAATGTAGCAGGACTACATGCATGGTAAATGTTTATAGACTACCAAGACTGGTATCCTAGACCACCTAGGCTGGTATCCTAGACCACCTAGGCTGGTATCCTAGACCACCTAGGCTGGTATCCTAGATCACCTAGGCTGGTATCCTAGACCACCTAGGCTGATATCCTAGACCACCTAGGCTGGTATTCTAGACCACCTTGGCTGGTATCCTAGCTGTTAGCTAGCTTATTGCAACCCTTAGGTCTTATCTATACTAACACTACTACTCAGTTGGTGTTTCGGTGGTGTAAGACACTGTGTCATAGTGGGTGAAATTAAAATCCTTTATTGTGGGAGACTAAGGATCATAATAGCTGACGCAAACTATAAATATTAAAGGGCTGTCTTTTAAATGTTGGGATTCAAGATGGCCACTATGGCCTCTTATTGGCTGAGACATTAAAAACATCAATGATAGAAGGGCCATTAGTATATGGCTTACATTTTTAGTTGTTTTTTAAGCAATCATGGGGGATGACAACCCTGACCAGAAGCACTACCCAGGTATAACATCTCCAATCAGTTTGGACAAACCCAAGCCTCTGGACCTCAAGTTGTCTGCGAAGCTGGAAGAGAGCATGCGACCATATGGAGTGTTTGAAAGTGATGAGCAGTTGGCGCACAGGTATATATTATAAGATTTGGACATGGCTATTTAATTTACAAACATTTGAAAGATCATATCAAAACATTGATAATACTTATGCAGTACTGCCAACTTTCAAAGACATCAGTAGGGGAAATTTAATCCCCTACCACTGGAAACTTCTTTAAGGGTGATGATTAAAATTCAAATGAGTACTTGGTTCGTTTTTTTGTAGAAGCATAAAACTGAAATTTAGGTTTGGCAGCATTTTGGATTCTGGCTAAATGTCCCCGATGGAAAATCAATCTCCACTTGCCACATATGTTTCGTAGATGTAAGTCACAAGTCAAACATGGCGACGCATTTGATGAGGAAGCATAACATTTCGTCATCCTGTATCGTATCAAAATGTATCGTATCGTGGGTAGATATCATGATACGTATCATATTGTGGCATAGGTGTATCATTACAGCCCTACTGAAATTCTCAAAAGACAAATATATTCAAACTAACAATGCTGTTCAGAATGACCTGTCTTTCCTAATCTTTGAGACGCTAAATAATATAAATTACTGCAGGACTTTGATGTATATTTGGTTCGAAACAGAGTTTTTCTGAGTAAAATGCTCAATATCTTAGTTTGTGCTCTTTCTTTTATTGTGCAGAATGGATGTTTTACACAAGATCAATAACATTGTTAGGGAATGGATCAAAGAAGTTAGCAGACAGAAGGTAAATACTACTACTGTTAAAATTACAAGTTAATCACTGAAAAAGATCAATAATTGACAGGAACGATCAAAATATACATATGTAATGTAGTCACTTCCTTAATATCACAAGCATAAGATTTAATATACTTTTGCTTTTCAAAACAAAGAATCGAATGGGTTAAAAGAATCAAAAGTAACAGGTCTCTCATTTTGACTGATTATGCCATGATTTCTATCCTTATAGAGCAACATTCCTGAGAGCAAGATAGACACTTTTGGTGGAAAAGTCTGCACTTTCGGATCATATAGACTAGGAGTACACACAAAAGGTCAGTGATTGGAATGAAAGTACAGTAGATTTACATTCCGTCTGTCCTTCCTTCTGTTCGTCCTCCTGTTCGTCCTCCCATTAGAGAAGTTTGTCTGGGACAAATAATATTCTAATAAACTTTTTTTTTTTTGCTTAGTCAAAGAAGGAAAAAGTCGGTACATGGGGAAAAAAATTATAATAAGTGATTTATCATAATAACCGATACCATAATAAGTGGGTTCCACTGTACAGACAAAACGTTTAAGGTTGGAATTGGATTTGGACTACACACAAAAAGTCAGATTTTAGAATTGGAGTATGCATAAAAGGTCAGATTTTTGAATTGTAATACCTACACATAACGGCCGGAGTTTGGAATTCTAGTATAGACAAAGGAAGATGAGTACAGTAGAATTGGCCTGATACTAAAAATAAAGGGCATGTCTCGGATAATCATTAAGATCATTTGAACCTCGCAAATAGTTTTTTTTGCTTGAAACCTGTGTTAAATTAAATATCCCCTACTCTGTAACAAAAATACTCACGTTTTATCATAGGTCATTCAGGTGGATTATCACAAAACTTACACATGTGCTGAATACAAAAATAGACTACATGAAAAGCTAGCTTTTGTTGCGTAGACAAAGATTTGTAAATGGCCAAAACTAGTCTCAAACCAAATTCATTATATTTTTCTTGAAAAATAATGAAGCCCACATAGTCCAGTTCATCATGTATATACCCATTTTAGTGCTGATATTTTAAAAAAGTTTTGATACACGTAATATTAAAGGGGTTATTAATTGTACAAAATTATCATCCATGGCCACCGTATGCTACTGAACTCTGCTACCTTATACACCAATTTTAACACCAGATTAAAACCTCTTTAATGTCTGGAAAATGACACAATGAACATTACAATGCATCCGTTTCCTTTCTCCCTTCAATAGTGACTGAGAAATAAGAATTTTCCTGACAGGTGGATTTTTACCAATTCTGCTCTCAAACTACCAACAAAGGGAGGTTATCTGAAATTTTGAATAAGTTTGGTATCCATGAATAAATTTTATTTCGGTGAAATATGATGCTTTGAAATCATGTGCATGTGAAAAACAAAACAGTACAGTGATACTATAATGTTTTAGAGTTGTTTAATGATGTCATAGTTACTGTGATGTCATCATAGCTATGACATCATCAATGTGCAGGAAACAGACCACAGAGTATCTAAGACTGTACAGACAATTAAGATACCCCTCAAGGGTTCAATGACCATCGTTAGGCAGATAAAGAGACCATGATGACGGACAGTAGAGAATCTGAGATTAATGACTAGTCATGTATAATTATATAGATACACAAAGAAAACATCACATAAAAAAATGGTCAGTGATTGGAACTTGTGTGGTACATTGCTTTTAAAATATGTATCTCAGGGATCATTCTCAGTAATGAAGTTAACTTGGTTAGCATTTAACAAATCATAAACAGAATTTCTGCATTGTATGCACATACAAAAATCACTTGCATATTTGATGATATTATTCCAAATTTGATATTGCATTTAATTTACTTTAAAGCTGACAGGATGTACAATGTACTCGATACACCTAACATCAGATGTACTCGATACACCTAACATCAATGACAGGTGGGCATATCTACACGAGGAGTTTAACCAGTCAGTGTTAAAACTCCAAAGAAAGCTCTATGTGACAGGTCATATGTTTTTGACAAAGCTCCCTGTCAATGATGCAAATTAACACTGACCTTTTGTGTGTATTTAATATCCATGCACTGACCTATTATATGTATAATCATAACTCAAAACAGGTTCAGATCACCATCCTACTATGATATATGTGCTTGCTAGGCATGAAGAGATGACCATTATCATGCTTACAGGATTACAACTTTCAAACAGTTTAGACCCACATCTTATAACCATTTACAATTGCTGAGTATATTGAGACAAATAAACATATGCTACCAGGTTGACTCCAGGGTTTACCCACTACATTTAATTAGAATATTTGTTCATGGTTGCTCAAATAGCCAGGTGAGCCATACTACTTGTTCTATTTGTGTCTTTCAAATTACAGTGGAACCCACTTATTATGATATCAGATATTATGATTACCATCTAATTATAATATTTTTCCATGTACCAAATGTTTATTTGATTGGTCAGACGTGGGATCCCATTTATTACCATTTTTTTTTCTCTCTGTGAATGGATCTTTATAAGTTAAAAACTCCTGGACAATAAGTCCAACTAATTGTACATCACCCCAGGTGATTGTTACACAGTACGCAGGTTGTCTGTCCGGGTAAGTTCACACAGCACGCAGGTTGTCTGTCCAGGTAAGTTCACACAGCACGCAGGTTGTCTGTCCAGGTAAGTTCACACAGCACGCAGGTTGTCTGTCAAGGTAAGTTCACACAGCACGCAGGTTGTCTGTCCAGGTAAGTTCACACAGCACGCAGGTTGTCTGTCCAGGTAAGTTCACACAGCATGCAGGTTTTCTGTGTCCAGGTAAGTTCACACCTTCCTTCACCCCAGTCAGTGGAAAACAATAGATTAACCTTCGCATGCTGGTCATATATTTCAATCTTGGAAAAAACATCTACAGTAGTTAATTGCTATCTAAAATACACTCTAGGTCTGTGTGTCAAATGGAAATGATTAGCCCTACTGACCATTTTCCAGCACAATTCTTATTAGAAAACAATCATGCAATTTCTATTTATTCACGGTTACCTTAACATGTCATGTGAGAAAACCATGCCAATTTCATTTGAAGGAAAGAAATGGTGTTTTTTTTATTATTCAAACAATAGTTTCCATATCGCATTGCAGGTTGACTTCCCTGTGTCTCCGTTTCCTGACAGCATGGTGCCGGAAATCAATCAAAGTTAACATAATTGTTGTAATGAACTGACGATCATTACTGATTTATTTACAATGTACACTCTTTTTCACCGAAAATAATTTTTGATAACATAAAAAAGAGAATAATTGGCGTTTATGGTTGTTATTGTTTCTATATATGCAATTTGCTTTCACCATCAATTTGCTTTCACCATCAATTTGCGAGGTAAGTGATTGTCGCCTGATTGAAATTAACATAGCGCAGCAAAACATTATGACGTTTATGGGACAAAATTAATAAAACATTCTTTGGGAAATCAGTAAATCATGACTACTTATATCACTTCTTACAACCTGTTGACTGTTGCATCACAGTATTGTTAGCTAGGATGTAGTATCGTTACCTATAGTTCCAAGAAATTGCTCAAAGTCATTTGAAAGTGAAAGTAAAATTTCCATACCAATCATTTCGACAGCAAATTGCAATTTTTTCTCGGATTTTTCCAACACACTGATATAAATATTTATTGTCAATATTTTAATTATTACAATATCAATTTGTATTGATATTTTCCCATGTTTCTACATATCTATATGTCTGATGATTATAGGAACATCTTACACCCGGTTCAGACAACCTAAATACAATCAAAAACAGCCTGATCGTTTGTTATACTTTTAAGTAATATATTATGATATTCTCCTCTCACAACAGTACTAATGTTTTGTCTCATGCAGATGGTGATCTATACCAACACATCGGTAAATTGCTTAGGATGATGTAGATACCCTGTGCACAATCAGAAATATTAACTTGCATATGTTGCATGTGGTGGTAACAGTGTACATATTTTATTCGTGCAGGTGGGGATATAGATACCTTATGTGTGGCCCCCAGACATGTGGAACGATCAGATTTCTTTTCTTCATTCTATGAACTGCTGAAACAGCAGGAAGAAGTGAAGGATTTGCGGGTTAGTATGTGTGAAACTACAGAAATGGCAACACTGCAGGCAGTGCTTTCCATTGTATACTTACATGGAACCTCATTATTATCACTCTTATTATCATAATTATACCTATGTATGCCTTTGCATGCCTATAAATAGAGTTAAGGTTCATAATTTTTCCAAAACAATGTTTAAAAAAAGAAATCATAGGGTTTTTTCACCCAAATATTACCTGCACATTATACACGAGTCATACAATTTGTGAATACAGTTATATACTGGTGTATTGTCGCATATGACAAAATTTTACTGTTTATAACAGTAAATCGTTCAGAACTCAATTATCTTGATTGAAATGTGCATATACACTGTGTCGTCATTTCCATATTGCGTGTCAGGCATTTCAATACAGTAATGTAAATTATAGTAACACCGGGTAAACAATAGTACATGTGTGCAGTGTTCTCCCCAGAAGCATGGTATTTCAATATTGCTGTTAAAGCAGCACTCTATGTAAAATCAAAGCAGCATGGTAACTTTAGATTTACTATGAATATATAGCAGAGAAGATCTAGGATAGATAGTGTAAATTATAGTAACACCGGGTAAACAATAGTACATGTGTGTGGTGATGATATGTCAACACCGTAGTGTAAATTATAGTAACACCGGGTAAACAATAGTACATGTGTGTGGTGATGATATGTCAACACCGTAGTGTAAATTATAGTAACACCGGGTAAACAATAGTACATGTGTGTGGTGATGATATGTCAACACCGTAGTGTAAATTATAGTAACACCGGGTAAACAATAGTACATGTGTGTGGTGATGATATGTCAACACCGTAGTGTAAATTATAGTAACACCGGGTAAACAATAGTACATGTGTGTGGTGATGATATGTCAACACCGTAGTGTAAATTATAGTAACACCGGGTAAACAATAGTACATGTGTGTGGTGATGATATGTCAACACCGTAGTGTAAATTATAGTAACACCGGGTAAACAATAGTACATGTGTGTGGTGATGATATGTCAACACCGTAGTGTAAATTATAGTAACACCGGGTAAACAATAGTACATGTGTGTGGTGATGATATGTCAACACCGTAGTGTAAATTATAGTAACACCGGGTAAACAATAGTACATGTGTGTGGTGATGATATGTCAACACCGTAGTGTAAATTATAGTAACACCCGGTAAACAATAGTACATGTGTGTGGTGATGATATGTCAACACCGTAGTGTAAATTATAGTAAAACCCGGTAAACAATAGTACATGTGTGTGTTGATGATATGTCAACACCGTAGTGTAAATTATAGTAACACCCGGTAAACAATAGTACATGTGTGTGTTGATGGTATGTCAACACCGTAGTGTAAATTATAGTAAAACCCTGTAAACAATAGTACATGTGTGTGTTGATGGTATGTCAACACCGTAGTGTAAATTATAGTAAAACCCGGTAAACAATAGTACATGTGTGTGTTGATGGTATGTCAACACCGTAGTGTAAATTATAGTAAAACCCGGTAAACAATAGTACATGTGTGTGGTGATGATACGCCAACACTCAATATCAAGATTTTATTTGGAAATGTGTAAATTATAGTAACACCGGGTAAACAATAGAAAATGTGTGTGGTGATGATATGTCAACACCGTAGTGTACATTATAGTAACACCGGGTAAACAATAGTACGTGTGTGTGGTGATGATATGTCAACACTGTAGTGTAAATTATAGGAACACCCGGTAAACAATAGTACATGTGTGTGGTGATTATATGTCAACACCGTAGTGTAAATTATAGTAAAACCCTGTAAACAATAGTACATGTGTGTGTTGATGGTATGTCAACACCGTAGTGTAAATTATAGTAAAACCCGGTAAACAATAGTACATGTGTGTGGGGATGATACGTCAACACCGTAGTGTAAATTATAGTAACACCGTGTAAACAATAGCACATGTGTGTGGTGATGATATGTCAACACTGTAGTGTAAATTATAGTACACCCGGTAAACAATAGTACATGTGTGTGGGGATGATACGTCAACACCGTAGTGTAAATTATAGTAACACCGTGTAAACAATAGTACATGTGTGTGGTGATGATACGTCAACACCGTAGTGTAAATTATAGTAACACCGGGAAAACAATAGTACATGTGTGTGGTGATGATATGTCAACACCCTAGTGTAAATTATAGTAACACACGGTAAACAATAGTACATGTGTGTGGTGATGATACGTCAACACTCAATATCAAGATTTTATTTGGAAATGTGTAATCATGTGTAAAAAGATATAAATTGACTCAGGGGAAGGCACTGACATGAGACCAGTTGACTTCAATAAGGTCATATATGAAACACAATTGCAGACTGGTGTGTTTTGTGTTCGGATCTCACATGTGTGTATCACCTCCTTACACTAGTTTATAAGCTTGAGGTCGTTACGATTTTTATTAATTAACTATGTAGATATTGCTGTAATATGTAATAAACGGCCCGTGCAATATAATCAACAATCACAGCCAATATCGGAATTGTTACACTAAAGTCGGCCAATATTGAAAAAAGTCGGCCTTTATGGAAAATATTGGCCGACTTTTGACAAACTCGGCCAATACGAGAAAACGCGCGTAATCGAAGGCGCCTGGTAAACCGTTTGAAACTCACCAGTAGGAATTGTTACAAAATGTCGGCCAAGATTGAAAAAAGTCGGCCTTTATGGAAAATATTGGCCGACTTTTGACAAACTCGGCCAATAGGAGAAAACGCGCGTAATCGAAGGCGCCTGGTAAACCGTTCGAAACTCACCAGTAGGTAACCCCTTATCCTACGAAAAAAAACATGTTCCTGGCGCAGACGATAACATACATACATGTCTATAAACAGACAAAAATGTGACAAATGTTCAATTTAAATTTGTTATTGTTTAACAAACAATAAACTAAAGTTATTTTCTGATTAAACATGTAAGAATTACCTGTTTCGTTGTTTTTATATCTACATAGTTAATTAATAAAAGGGTCAATAATTAGCTAATTACATATTTGCCCAGTTATTAGGCCCCGGTCAGTCATATTGGCCCTTGGCCTGCGCCCTCGGGCCAATATGACAGACCTCGGCCTAATAACTGGGCCAATATGGAATTAGCTTATTATTAACCCTATATTATGAATTTTGTATCTGACATGTAAATATACCTGGGGCTAGTGGGCTCTGGAATGATATTCAAAGTATACATGATTGAGAGTAATTTGGTTCCATAAAAGAACAATAAATTGACAATTTTGATATCATCATTTTAATTGATTTCCATCATTTTTGATATATGTAAAATCAGATAACTCATTGTGTAAATTTTATCTCTGCAAAAAGTTCTGATTTTTTCAAGGAATGCATCTCTCACCAGGATTAAAGTGATTGTAAAATGTAAAATAAATTGATTATAACGCCATTGAATATATTTTGTTCAATTTCCCACTCTTTATGTATGAAATGTTGTGTCCTATTTACTTTTAGCTTGTAGACCATCCATACTTGCCAACTCTCCCTATTTAGGATGGAGACTCTTGATTTTGGACCCTAAAATTGAGCATTTTTAACCAGTGGATTTGCTAAACTAATTCTGTTTCAAGATCATCAGATGGTGGGCTATTCAAATCACCCTGCGTCCATGGTCTGTCCATCCGTCCTTAAACAATTTTTGTTAGCGCTATTTCTCAGAAAGTACTAAAGGGATGTTTTTCACATGAATGTTCCCCATGGTCCCTAGTTACCCATTTCAAATTTGGGGATTATTGGAAAACCAAGATGGCTGCCAGGTGGTTGTATTCACTTTTTGGGTAAAAGATTTTAGCCCTATTGATCAAAAATCTCCATGTTGGCAAGTATGGATAATTATTTGAATTTTGAGAGTTAAAGTTTGTTAGTGCTATTTCTCAGAAAGTACTGTAGTAATGCTGAAAGTGATTTTAATGCATTAAAGAAGAACTGTAACTGTTTTTGAAGTATACACGTATTTTGAAATTAAAGATGCTATCTGATGTCAATAACAATCTCAAAACATCAAAACAGCCTTTTTTTCTTATTATTGATGTCTTTGGCCAATTGTATATGAAAGTAGAATGTGTTTTCATGTTACTGTTTGTTAATGTATAATTCTGTATTCTCAAAGGCGGTGGAGGAAGCGTTTGTGCCCGTGATAAAAATGGTGTTTGATGGAATTGAGGTAAGAACTGAATCCTAGATTAATCTAGATGATGCTTCCTTCAGTAAAGTTCACTAATCCTACCCAAAAAATTGTGCAAGGAGGAACAGGGTGTAATTGGCAAAAACATCTGGTCAATGATTTTTTTTTTCATTTATTCCACATATACATTTAGGTGTCCTCTGGAACATATGATATTATGGTCCCTTTTTAGGTCACCTGAGCTTTGCTCAAGTGACCTATTCTAATCGCTTTTCGTCCGTCGTCCGTCGTGCGTAAACTTTTACATTTTCAACTTCTTCTCAAGAACCAGTGGATGGATTTTTTCAAACTTGGTCAGAATCATCCTTGGTAGATGAGGCTTTAAAATTGTAAAATTGGGATTCCTACCCCAACCCCTGGAGCCAGGGCGGGGCCCCAAAGGGAAAATTAACCAATATTTCAAAAATCTTCTTCTTCAGACTCAGAGGTACTACACTCATTTTCCCTGCGTGGAAAGAAAGATCATCAGGGGCTTTACTTAAATTGTAAATTTCAGGACCCCCGAGCTATCCGTTCTCCCTTGGGGAGGGGGTAAAGTTTACTATAGTTTATATAGGGAAATAACACTTTTGGGTATATTTTGACAACTTTCTGTAGGAAATTATTTTTACTTGGTGAGAATTATCCTTGGAGGTAGAT